CACAATGATATAATATAACATTAGACTTTAAAATTTATAAAAAAATATAAAATATTTCATAATTTATTTTAATTTACTCTGTTCTATGCCAGATGGAATCATTTCATCATCTAATTCTTTGTTAGTAATATTTAACCCCATAGCATTATATCTAATTGGATACGTTAACAAATTTCCTTGGTCCCAAGTAAATAGTTCTTTATTATGCGGATTGTATTGGATTAGTGTAGTGTGTGCAAATGGATTAGTGAATGGTAAATCAACATCGTTTAATCGAACATTTTTGTATAAATCCAGTGCAAATCTAAATAAAAATAATAAAAATTTAATACATCGTAGTATATGGCGAATACAATATTTTTATTTATTTTTTAATTAATTTCATATTTTTATGTTATATAATATATCACCTAATGGTTGTACTCCGTTCAGTTACACTATGTACTGCATATAATACACCGCAAACGATAAACATATCTCCTGCTCGATCATGTTTGATGCTAATATTCCAAGCATACTCGATTTCCAAAGTCACCGGATCTACATGTAGAACAGCTGTATTATTTGAATCTTCCAGACCATAGATTACCCATAAGCCATTTTCTTCGACAGCCAAATCTACATAATTCATTCTAAATATACATAACACTACTGTACTTAGTTCTAAACTGTATAGGTACAGTTGAATTTCGTTTAAAATGAATGATCAATTTTATTACTTGGTTGTATATAAACGATTTTTAAGGTTAGAAGTATTTAAGTATGGGACCGTCAAAAAATTTGTGTATTTGTCTTGTAGAATGTCAAACTTCCGAATTATTGGTTTGTCTTTTTCGTGAAAATAAAAAGAGTCCTTATACATCGCATGACTATTTCCCTAAAACACATTTTTTATAAGAACTAACTACAATATTATTATAATAGTACCWATGTAATTTAACAAATTTAGAAATTATCAATTCTTGAAAATCAAYAACTCATTAAATATGGTATTTTTGTAAAAATAATAATAATAAAAATTGATTTTTTAAGAASAAAAACAAAGATACATACCTAGGTATTTTAGGTTAAATAGGAAAGTCGGAAATTTTGAAGACAATTAAAAATTATTGCATTTGTATTAATTTTGTTATTTTATTAAATTAAATCAAAACTCTAAAGATTATTTTAATACTCAAAATTGTTAAATAGGTATATGTTTAATATGATATAAAATCGTGTTTTTTATTTATAATACCTACTGCTGTTTGACGTTCATAAATAAAATMAAATGTTAAGTACMAAATAATAAATTATAACATTTACTCACATGGAACGAGTAACTTAAGGTATATGTTTTTGTTGGTTTATTATCTTTAAACATTGATTTATTAGAAAATTGAAAAAGTGAATTTATCTCGTTTATTGTCATCCAAATTGTTTCATTTGATTCACGTGACATTGGATCTTTCATCCAACTTCCAAATGAAGCATTCGAAACCCTATTGAAAACAGGTTTACCCACCGCATATACTTGACAGTCTGAAATACATATCATTGTTTTAGGTACCTAAGTAAGTTATATGTGGAGCTCATSAATACAAAYTATACTCTTAATTTAGCATTTACCTAAAGTTCGATTAGCATGACCTTTATTGGTGACTTTGTGTAATTGTTGTATAGCTAATGGCTGATGGCCCAACAAGTCATCAATCGTAAATTCTTCTTTACACTCTTTTGTTTCTTTTGATTTTGGACAAGTTGGACAGATTACGGGTGGTTGACATATATCGTATTCTCCAATCAACTCGGGAGGTCCTTTACCGAACTTAATTTTATTATTAGGGTCAACATAAGGTGGAGGTGTTACCAAAGTTGGATCAACTACTGTTATGYATAAAATAGTATGTTATTAAATGAAATATTTACAACACTATTTTAAAATATTTACTGTATAAAGTGATGTTTCCAGCTACGATGGCTTCATCGTTTTTGCTCACACAGTAATATGTGCCATTATCATCATCATTGACCGATGATATATTCAGTTGCATTATGAACTTATAACTGGAAACATCTATTCTGGTTATACTATATTTATCATTGCTATCTATAATGTCTCCTTCTCGTTCCCAGTAGTGAATCGCATACGGATAAGCTTCTACTTCGCATTCAAAATATGTTGAACGATTAACTGCAGCGGCCACATGTTGATTTTGCACAGAAATTAGTGGAGGAACTAAAAAATAGGTTAAAAATATTTAAAAAAATTGCATACCTGTTATGATTATAATTTATAATAAATTGATATAACATCAAATATACACTTTAATTTTTAATTTTTTAAGTATCTCGTAAAGTTTTCAAGAGGTAAAAATGTCCAATACGAAAACAAATCTTCATAGCTGAACTTACCGTTAAAGRACAGTGTTAAATAGTGTTAAATAATTTATATATAAATGGTGGGAGATTGTCTCACCATACGTGAATTGTATACCTCACGCGACATCAGTCTATATAGGTAGGTACCTACTGTAGTTTTAATAATAAACATTTACTAATTATTTCAATAATTTTAAAACTGGGCATTTTGTTCAAATTTATACAATGATCTAACAGAAAGGAACAAAATATACATGTTATTAGGTAAGTATACTTRCAATGCGTTTCAATTGAATAATATTGTATTGCAGATGGAGCTATACCATTATCAGCTATACATTTATAACGACCCATATGAAGTCTATTAACTTTAGTAATATTTATAGCATTGCCAGTGACTGTCTCCTCTAAAATATTAAATAACAATTATTTTATATATTTTATAATGAAATAACTTGTAAAACAAATTAAATACTTTTAAGAATAACTAACCTCTCCACGATCCCATTGGTACTGTAGTTGTATCAAGTTTTTGCCATACAATTGTAGGTTTTGGGGATCCTGTTGCTACACACCGTAACCTTAAATTATCCCCCTCTTTTACAGTGATATTCTTTAATTCAGAATGTCCAATAATATTAGGAGCTGTTAAAAAATCTGAYGTGGGARTTCCATTCACCGTATAATTATAAGCACTTAATCCTGGTCTTCCAGGAGTACCATCAACTCCTGGTTTACCTGGACGACCTTTCGGCCCAGTTAAACCTAATTGATCAAATTTTAATTAAAATTTTTTATAATATATGAAAAAAATAAAAATAATTTCTAACCTTTTGGGCCAATAGGACCGGGTGGTCCAATTGGTCCCATTTCACCAGGCTTTCCATCGGTTCCATTGAAGCATGTTGCATCCTTTCCGGGCAAACCATTAGTACCAGGAAAACCTAAAGTCAATTATTATATACAAACACATTTCATTACTCTTATGAAATGRGAAATTTAGGATAATAGTACTAAATAACTAATCTCAATAAATATATATAAATTATTTTGAAAAAATTGTTCTAGTAAAATATACTTCAAAGTTATTGCATCGAAAAACGATAAGTATATATTATAAATGTATTATTAATAACCATAATATACTACCTAGCTATGTCGTATATCATTATATTATTATATACATTGGTAAGTTATAAATAACGTTTTCTTAAAAACTTAGTATTTGCACCGTTAGTGAAAGATTCTCTTATAGGTATTCTATGTCAATAAATTACTATTTATAAATTCAGCACAAATATATTTTTTTYATCYTAAATCCTAATATCAACTAAATTATAAATTATAAAATGTACAATACATATACAAACCATCAAGACCATATTTTCCAGGCATTCCATCCAATCCGGGCTCTCCAGGAATACCATCGCGTCCATCTAAACCTAGTTTATTAAAGAAACATATTTTATTTAAGTATT